TGATGCCACGCTTCTTAGACCATGTCACTGGGATCTTACACCTGGACCTTCTGTAATGCTGTCCAGCATCCCTCTTGTCCCTCACCATTCCATTGTCCCCAGGAGCCAATCCAGTCATGCCATTCTCTTGTCCACTTCCCCCACTGACCTCTCATATCACTTAGAGGGGAATCCAAATCAAATTCTTTGCCTACAAGTCCCAACATATGTCTGGACCTTGGTTAGCTAACTCTCTGGCTTTTTTCTGAGTTCCCTCCTCTTCACCTATACTGGCTTAATTGTGGGACTGTGAACATACCAAGCTTCTTCAGCCTCAGGGCTTTGTCTTTGCTCTTTTCTCCTTCTGACATTCTCTGCCCTCTCATTTGATTTGTGTTCTCTCTCACTTTGTTCAGGTTTTGGCTCAAATGTCACCACATTAGTGAGATCTTGTCTAATTACCTTTTCTAAATCAATTCCCCCTCCTAGTCTCCATATATACCCATCTCAGTTCTTCTCTTCTTCTTCTTCATCTTCTTCTTCTTCATCTTCTTCTTCTTCTTTTAATGTTTATTTATTTTTGAGAGAGTTGTAGAGAAAGAGAGGGAGACACAGAACCCTAAGCAGGCCCCAGGCTCTGAGCTGTCAGCACAGGGTCCATTGTGGGGCTTGAACTCATGAACTGTAAGATCATGACCAGAGCTGAAGTTGGCTGCTTAACCGACTGAGCCACCCAGGTGCCCCTCCTCTCTGTCTTCTTACCTAGCTTTATTTTTTTCATACTTCTTATCAATACCTGAAATAATATTATATATGCATTTTGCTTTTTTGTCTATCTCCTCCACTGTACTGTAAACTTCATGAAGGCAAGGCATAATGTTTTGTTCAATGAGAATAATACCTAGCATGTTATAGTGAATAAGTATGACTTTACTTCAATGCTTGTTATTATTGAAGTAAAGTATTTTTCAATTGATGCTAAAAATAAAGTTTAATTAGTAACAAGAGCTTCTGTGTGGCTTGAGAAAAATATTCATTTTGAAGGTTTTATTTGATTTAATGGTTTTCTATAGGAATCTTGAACATTCAAGGATATTAGTGATACATATATATATATATATATATATATGCTGCTACATATATATGTATATATATGTCCAGTTTGAAACTGGTACTGGTAGGTTTTTTAAAGGTGATTTATTATTTTTTAAAACGTTTATTTATTAATTTTGAGAGAGGGGGGAGAGAGTGAGAGTGTGTGTGTGCACAAGCAGGTGTGAGTGGGGGAGGGGCAGAGAGCTACAGAGAGAGAGAATCCCAAGCAGACTTCATCCTGAGCGTATAGCTAATGACCTGAGCTGAAATCAAGAATTCAATGCTTAACTGACTGAGCCACCCAGGTGCCCCAGGTATTAGTAGTTTTAATAGCAATTATAACAAACCCCATCGTTTGGCCCTTATTGTAGCTATAGGTGCTTTGCATGGCTTATCTTATCTAATTCTTAAAACAGCTCTATGGGGGTATTTATCACTTCAAGTGACATGTGTGGTGTGGTAATTTAAAAATATGTCCACAAATTCTTTGGTAGCCCTCCCTTTAAAAGGTGGGGGCCAGTTTGCCTTCTCTTGTGTTGGGGCTAGGCACAGTGGCTTAGTTCTAAAGAATAAAATATGGTGAAAGTGACAGTGCTTAGCTTCTAAGATTAGATGGCCAAAGCCATTGTGACTTCATCCTTGTTTTTTCTCTAGGATCACCCAATGTTATGTCTTAGTTTTCTCATCTTTAACGTGAGTGGTGTAGACCTGACATCCATAGTTGTACAGTCTGATGTGCTACAGATTCCTCTGCATCAAATAGATTTAGCATGGACCGACACATCAGATTAATTAGGGACTCTGTGCTAGAAAGAGCTGAAGCTTTGGCAGTTTTGCTCTATTTTGTTGGATTTTGGGGACTAGATGAGATGGCATGAGGAAACTCAAGCAACCCTATGAAAAGATTTACATGGTTAGGAGCTGAAGTCTTCTGCCACAGTGGGCACCATCTTGGAGGGAGAGCCTCCAGATTCAGTCAAGCTCTCAAATAACTGCAGTCCTAGACAACATTTTAACTGCGACCCCAAAGGAGACTATAAGTCAGAACCACCCAGCTAAGCTGCTCCTGAATCTCCAACACACAGGCCCTGTGAGATAAGAAAAACCTTTTGTTTTAAGCCACTAGGTTTTGGGAGTAGTTGATTGTGCGATAAAAAATAACAAATATATTTGGAAATGGAAAGACAGAATGGTTAAGTCAAGAACCTCACAGCATCTAGCTAGGAGTGATGATGCAAGAATTGGAACCTAGGCATTCTGACTCTATAGTCTACATGTTCAACCACCATACTCTACAGGAGGTCAAGATTCATGTCTCAAATCATTGCCATACTGTAATACACTGTCAGGGCAGTGAATACAGTCTGTCCTTGGCTGTTAAACTGGCTGCTCTTGCCCCATCACAAGGTCATGTTCTAGGCAGCCACTGACCTTGCTTCTAAGTCTTCATTCTGCCCCAGATTTGTTCCATTATATAGTTGAACATGTATCTTCCCGTTATGCCTTCTCCCATACCATTGGGCTTCTGCTCATCCCTACTTCCAATCATGTGATTCTGGTACAGCTGCCAATCATTGTAATCTTCTTGCCCCATAGGTGGGTGTATGACTTAAGCTGGCCAATCACAGAGTACTATCAGTGATTGACTACAGTAACTGGGCTAAAACAAGAGCATATGACCTACAATCAGCCAAGCAGAGCCTTTCCCTGGGATTTATATTATATTACATTATATTATATTAATTTATATGTCCTTTGAGATCTTGAATCCAGCCAACCCCGAGAGCAATTCTATTCTTTTGTAATCTCTGTGACTCACTAAATTCTTTAAGTCAGTTTGAGTTGAGTTTTATCACTTGTCCCTGAGTTATGAGTAGCATGAAGGGTTTATCCCGGTTTTTGGAATATGGTAGGTATCTTCCATTCTCCATGAGCAACAATGGCTCTATGTCATCGGAAGAACCTGGAACAGAACTTTCCATTGGTTGGGTCAACCTTCCCATAGAGGATAAAGAACCTTCCCTTCATTCTTCAGGAAGCATCTGGCTTTTCTGGAGGCCAGCAATGGTCTGGAGGCAAGCTCAAAATAGAACAATATTATGACGGATGGGTAGCTCAGTCACTCAGTTTAAAACCTTAGTCATCTCTGTATCCTTTCTTTCCTTCGTTGCTCACCCCTCCCCCAACTCCCAACACATACACACACGTACACACACATCCTGTTAGTCATCAAGTCCTGTTGATTTGGATCAAATGCTTTATGGAAGTAAGAGGAATAACCATAATGAACGTTGGTGGCTGGTTGGGTTCTTCCTTGCAAGTCCAGTTTTTCTTCTTCATTTCTATTGCCACCACCATGGACCACTGCAGTTGGTCTCCCTGCCTCTAACCTCAACCTCTGCAGTCCATTTTTCACATTTCTTCTAGAATTTGTTTTCTAAAGCACCCTTTTGATTGCCACATGCTTTTGATGGATTTAAAAGTCTTCACCAGTTTTCCACCGCTAACTTGCTAAATTGCGATTGCCATTCAAGACTCTCCATGACTGACCTGCATTTGCAATCCAATGTCCTATGACCTCCACGGATCAATCTTCTGGTCTTCTAGCACCCCTGCCATTGCAGCACTGCCTACCACCTACTCATACCTCTTTCCCAAATTAAAATACTGTCCTTCCTTTCCTATGAGTCTTCAAGATGCATTTCAATTCCACCTCCTTCATCAGATATTCCCTGAGCATGCCAATCCACAGTGAATATCCTCTCTTGTGAACTCTGTAACAATTGCTGTCTAGACAAGTGTTTTTCAACGTGTGCTCACATTCCCAGGGAGCATTTGGCCAGTCCAAGTCAAGTTTTTGGTGTTTTCATAAAACTACTGATTATATATTCAAATTTGGCTGAGCAGATTATTTCCAAACCCAGTTTCTTTCTTGTCTTCTACTTCCAAATTACATCCTCATGCTATGGTGGTGCGTTTATTCCCAAGTACAAATTAAGGATCATGAAAATTTGTTTTGTGACCTACAGATTGAGAGCTATTTATTATTGATGTTATTATTTAAAACCATAACCATTGGGAAAATAGTATGAAAACGGGAGAGAATTGCTATAACAATTTCTACAGTTTTTAAACCAAATACACTTTGTTATTTCCACACACTCACCCTTCTCTCTCCCCCCACTACTGTTTTAATATGGGATTTTAACTAGAAATTGGTATAAAATCTGTTGTATTGGCATAGCCTGACAAACATTCATTGTGTACTCACTCTCTGCCAGGAATAGTGATAGATGCTTGTGATACAAAGATAAACAAGCCCCTGCAGGAAGAGGAAGAGTCTTCCAGATGGATTCCATGTGGAAGGACATTCTAGGCAGAGGGAACAGCATATGCAAACTCATGTATCCTAGATTGAGCCAGACATGAAAACTTTGTGGTCCGGATTCTAAGAAAACTTTTTTTAAATGAAAAATTTGATGTCTTTTAAAAGTCTGACAGCCTCTAGATTAAACCGGTTCTCTTTGTTATACATTCTCCTTCACCATCCTTCCCTCCACAAGGGCAGTTCAGGGTCCAGATTCAGACACAAATAACCTTTATTGAGTTCTGCTGCTATAGGCCACTTCATATGTACACAGATCCCCTATTTAATTCTTACATCATTTTAGGTGTTTATCACCATTTCCAATTTAGAGATGAGTATAGTGACATGTCCAAAGTCTCATACACAGGAAATGAAGGAGGAGGGGTATGCATTATGTCCACTTCTCATCTAGAGAAAGAAACCAACTAGGCATTTTGGGGGCTAGGATGAGGAAGACCTTTCTTCCAAGTTCAGAACATCCTGTCTTCCCAGGTTCTGAGTTAACCGTTTCTCTTATAAAGAGAAGCCTTTGAACAGAAGGGAGACCATTTAACCAGGGTTTGGTAGGAAGAGACGACTTTATTAAGGAGTTTGGATTTTGAGAGCTTCTTCAATGCCAGCTCTGGAGACTGGCACATAGTAGGAACTCCTTTTTATGGAACGACTGGATCCTCCTCATGGGCGCGTGGCTAGTGTCTCCTCTTGGATTCAAAGTCTCTTGTGGGCAGGGTCCCGGTTGAGCCTTTCAAGGGACACTGTGTAGTTAGGTAGACTGGAAAATGTTTGCTGAGTAGTAGATGAGTGAATGACGGGGGGGCGGGCGGGGGGGGGCTGTTGAAGGGAGGCCACGCCTGGCTCTAAAGACTTTCCAGGGTTTATGGGGTGCCGTCTTGGCGCCTCTGCATGGGCCATGTCGTCCGTCCTCCCTGGGGCCTCCACGTCTTACAAACCAGACTGGAGGGAGGGGCTATGTAGCCGGGGAGGGGCTGCGCAGCCCCGGAGGGGCCAGGTCACCCAGGGTGGCGCCCACTCCCTCCTTGGGTTGGGGGTGGTAGGTGTGTGTGTGTGCGGTGGCGGGGAAGAGGTGAGGCCCCCGGTCGACCGAGCCCTGCTGGGGCCCCTTCCCTGCGACCTGCCACCGCTGCTCTCTACCTGCCTCCTCGGCCGCCCCTTCGCGGCCCGGGGCCGGGTGCGCCCCGCGGGCACCTGGCCGGCCACCCCCGGGGGGGACCCCGCCGCCGCCTCCGGAGCCGGCCCGGGGCGGCGGGGCGGGCCCTGGCGCTCCCCGACTCCGGGACCGGTCCCCCGGGGCGCGGCCGGGCAGCCGCCCCCGCCCCCCCCTCCCCGGGGGCCGGGCCGGGCTCCCGGGGGGCGGGGACTCGCCCAGTGGCAGCAGCGTCCGGGCCGGCGGCGGGCGCGGGGCGGCTTCCTGCAGGCGGCGCCGGGGCGAGCCGTTGCCCGCTGCAGCCACCGCCGCCGGGTCGCCGGGTCGCGGGGGCCGCGGCGCTCGGGCCGCGTCGGTGCCTCCCCGGCGCGCTGCGCGGCCGTCGCTGCTGCCCGCGCTCGTGCCGCCGCCGCCGCCGCCGCTGCCGGTTACGCCAGCCCCGCCGCCGCCCGCTCTGATTCTGCGCATAGGCAGCCCCCAAGCCTGTCATTCTGCAAAAACACAGTTTACTCAACACACCACACACACACTCACACACACACGCGCGCACACACACACGCGCACACTGGCCCCCTCGCGCACACGCACGGAGGGCGCGAGCGAGCAGACGCGCACACCCGGCGAGCCAAGTTCCGCAGCCTGGCATGGCTTCTGGGGACCTTTACGAGGTACGGGGACGCGGGGGCGCGGCCGGCCCCGGCCCGCGGGGCGGCGGGCGGCGGCGGGCGGGCGGGCGGCGGGGACCGGGCCGGGGCCGGGGCCGGGCGCGAGCCGGAGTTGCCGAGCCCGCGGCGGCGGCGGCGGCGGCGGCCGGAGGGCGGCGGGGGCCGGGCGCGCCTCCCGCCCGCCGCCCGCCCGCCCTCCCGCGGCGCCCGCGCCCGCTCCCTCTTTCTCTTTCTCTCGCACACACACTCTCTTACTCCATCTACTTTGCGGCCTTGGAGGGGAAGGAGGAAGCCGGGCGGAGCCGGGGCGGGGGAGGTAGCGGTCCCGGGGAGGTGTTTCTCGCCCGACGAGCCGCCTCGAGTGCAGAAAGTACAGGTAAAAGTCGGCGCCGGACGTGCCGGGAATGCGGGGGGCCGCGCGGCGGCCGGCGAGGGTGCGGGGCCGGGGGGTGCGCGGCCCGGGCTGGGCCGGGGGCGCGGGAGAGGAGGGGGGCGGGCGTGGGAGCGGAGCCCGGCCCCGGCGAGGCGGGGTCCGGGGGGCTGTGAGGGAGACTGCGTGGTCGGTGGGGGGGGGGGGCGGCCGGGTGAGGGTACGGGGGACACCCGCCAAACCGCTCCCCGGGGCCACCGGGCCGCCCTCCCCCTCCCCCCACCTGCTGCCCCCGCCACGGGCTGGGAAGCCCTCCAGGCCGGGGCGTGGGGGCGGTCCTTGCGGGTGTCGTGCTCGCTGGGGGCGAGAGGGGGCGCTGCAGAGGGCCCTGTGTGGAAGGGAAGGGAACATGGAAGTCAGAGGTGGGTGGTAACATGTTGCTGGAAGACGTGGGATGTGAGCCGTGCTCCCGACACTCTGCGTCACCCTCAGTGGATACCTGTCTCCGGGTCCACCCAGGTCCACACAGGTAGTGGCCAGCCTGGGAGACTTTGGGAGCGTCTCAAAAGTGGTCATGGAAGACATTAGTCTGGCCCTCTCTGTGAAACGGCGGAGGAATAGCCGTGGCCTCCGGGAGCTGGGTTGTAGCAGGCTCTGGACACAACTGTTGAGCTTTTGGGTTCTCGACGAGTAGACAGAAGGAGAAGCGAGCCCCACTCCCTGGGGAGAGCGCCTTCCAGACGGTGTTGACCCCAAGATGAGGGTCAGAATAAGGAAGCTAAGAGACCAGCACTCTTCAACCAGAAGGTCAGCTGATCCTCCTAGAAACCAGCGTCAGCGCTCAGTCTGGACCTGTGCTACCTGCACACAAATCCGCAAAGCCTAGCCCTGCTTCTCAGGGCTCCTGACTAAATCGAGATGAGCACCCCAAAAGGGTGGAATTAACCTAGTGGCTAAGAAACTGCAGGAGTCGTACACCCACGAGAAACTATAAGGGGATTCATCTACCATGAGCTTTTTCCTCTGGGCCCTCTGGGCGGCTGAAGCTTTTCAGATGGTAGATTTGCTGGCTGCAGTGGGAGAAGAAAGGAGAACAGGCAAAATAGCGTCTTGGCTTCCTGTGTGACCCGGGTCTTTTGGATGATTGTGGACTTGGTGAGGCCCAGTCATGGACCACCAGCCAATGGGCTCAGATGGGACAGATGGGTGATCTTGGCAGTATTTGAAAGAACCACTGCCTCTTGATTGACCTCTTTTGAGCTCTATTGCTTTCCTCATCCTTCTGCTAATAATGAAGGTGAAGTTGGGTAGAAACCTGGTGAAGACCTTTGGCAGATCACGGCCAATGCCTCATGGGAGAACTTTGGTCTGTTTCAAGATGGCGGAGTAACATCTGAAACCAAAAGTTGAAGCACAGCAGAATGGGAGGTCTGATTGGGCTTTCGTGCCTATCACCAGCACTATTAGGACATTGGTCAAGAGTAGATACTGTTTAGGGGCAAACTCAACTCCTTAGGAGCGTGGATTTTTCTGCCCATTGGTACTGAGTCAACCTAGAGGTGCTCACATTGTCCGAGTCCATTGTGCAGGTGTTAAAGGGACGAGTGAGGAGGTGTCCGTATTTCTCCATTTAAAGTTTGGAACTTATGAACCTTCCGGGGATAATTTCTTGTTGAATGTTCACTTGAAACTACCCTCCTTAACATTGGTAATCATAGCTGGTTAAGGGGAATTTTCACACCGGCCTTGGAATTATATTAGCACCTCCAGAGTTCTTACTGGAGAACAGGACCATAATAATCATTACCTCTGTGACAGTAGGTAATTGTACTAGATGTAAAATAGTTTTCCCATAGCTGATTATTGGCATCGTCATTACTAAAAGGGCTAAATTGCATTCCAAGAGTATAACCAATGTCAACATTTTCATAGCCAGTGTCTACGTTATATAACTTAGATGGAAGAATTTAATTTGTTGTCCAAATTTAGCTTGAAAAACAATTAAGTGCTGGGAACTGAACATTTAGCATATATATTTCTAACTGTAAATTGTTGTGTGTGTAAAACATAGGATGTTGATTTGAGGACAGACCTTGGAATATCTAGTACATTGATTGACCTTGAAAGAAAAAAAGAAGAAAACTGATCTTGTTCTCAATTATGGTATTACATTAATTGACTATTATATTCAAATATATATAAAATGGCTTCTTGTAACCTCTAAGAAACCACATCTTGAGTGGGCTAAAATCTATTATATTTGTAATTGATACACTGTACCTGTGTGTCTGCTGGCATTATCCTTGACCCTTTATAGTGAAGATGTGATTTGGATTGTAGAGATTCTTCATATTCTCTTTAGTGCTTCAGATAATTGCAAAGAGTAAACCCTCCTCAGATAGAGTATTTTTTTTAAAGGAATAGGTACTGAAAATGAAAACTTTACTTAATGGCACTCTTCATAATGGGGAAATACAGAGTCAAGCTCACTTTCCAAAATTTTGGATCTTGACGGATGGTTCTGCTTTGTTTTCGCTACAGAAGTCTTCTCATCTCACCAGAAGATGTATTATAGCCATCACCTATAGAAAGCGATCTTAAATATTGGTTAATCTTTTTAGAGTAAGGTATCTGGTTACAAAATGAAATTCAAATCCCGATGCTCAGCTCTACATTCTGCTAAACATGAGGGTCATAAAGTGGCAGTCTGTGAGCAGGTCTGGGTTATCTATGTATTTTTTTTTCCCTCCAGGGTAGATAAGAAAAATGGATTTGAGTACCTTTAGATGGTACGTGTGATCTCTAGTTTGTCATTGGCCCTGTGCTCCCTGGTACAACGTACGCATTCTGCTTCACTCTTACGTTACTTATCTGGCTCTAGCAGGCCTTAGAGTTTGCAACCCCAGAAATTTAGTCAATCATTCACTAAGATGTTTGGGTGTTAGGAAGACATAGCCAGGGAATAAGGAACCTTGGCTGTCTTGTCTTGACCCTCTCTGTGTCCCTAGCTCCTTGCACATTCAACTACTCGTTGACAGAATCAGTGAGTGGAAGACTGTTATAAATTAAGCCTATATAAAGCACCTTGGCTGACCTTTGTTATCCTTGTATTGAGTGTTACCTTCTGTTCTCTTTTCTTCCCTTGTGATCTCTCAGTGGTGGCAACACCATGTGTACGGGTAGCTCTCAGTTCTCCCTGGAAGGAAGTGTGGTTGAGTCTCTTTCCAGAAAGCCAGACTGTTATTCATTAGAAGGATTGATCGCATCTAAGCTTCAACCATGTGGTTTTCCATGTGGCCGTTGGGCGGTGTTTTACACCCCCTCCCTTGTGATTAGCTGACAGTTGTGGAGGCAGTCTCTCTCTACTTCTTGAGCAAAATTGTTCAAAGAGATTGCTGTCTGTCTGTAGGCAAAGTCAGTAGTGGTCAAGATGGACTTGACAATGATAGTTCCTTTTGGGTTTGTCAACATTCAGTTTATTTATACATCCCAAGGTTCTATCCTGAAAGGAGGAAATATGCCCCATGTCTTTGTTGGGGGGGGGGGTGTTGATAGGCATGCATGTACCCACCCTTATCTAATATATATTGTGTGTGTGGTTATGTGTAGGTTTGTGTGTGTACGGAAAGATTACATTTCATTCCAGATAAGATAAATAACAACAATAATAGGATAATTTTAGTTTTGTGGAAAGAAATTTACTTTCATTAAAAGTCGACTCAGCAAAAGTGATGAACACGGGCATTTCTGCCCTTGTACTCTGCAGAGTCACACACTAAAAATATGGGAAAATAGGGGCTTATGGGAAAAATGGGATTGAGGCAGAGTGCTGAAAACTTATGGAACATTGTAACCAGAAACAAAGCCAGAAACGAAGCTAATAAAAATACAGCTTGGTTAAATCTCCACCTGGCTGATGTTTGTCCTCCACAGGTCAGGCCATCCTTCACAGCATTCACATTGGGTTTATACCACCTTTCTCTCTGCAGATCGCTGAGGGCATTTGTTTCTAATGGACACCATTTTCATCAAAATTAAATCCTGCCCAGAGCATCGCCCTCATCTTTCGTCTTTATTGGGAGAAATGTTTTCAGAGCTTCTTCATCTGTCACTTGCAGCTCTGCCTGTCAGGTTAACATAGTGTAAAACATACTGGTTCTTAGAGCCACAGTCTGCTACCACTCATATTAAAGGAAGGCACTGGAATGCATTTCCAGCTTCGTTCTATGATCTTCCTGCATCATTAAGTCTTTCTTTTTCTTTGTGAGAATGCTTTCTTATGCTTGCTTCAGAATATTAACAAGCGAGGAAAAAGAACACAAGAATCAATACAACTTACTTGTTATACTGACATTGTTTCCCTACTTACCAGTCGTACCTGAGGTAATTCCTGTCAAACACGTAGTAGCAGAATAGATGATCAGTGATACAACTTCTCAAATTTCTGTACCAGTGTTAGAAGAGACGGATATCTTCGAAGAAAATTTATTGGTCCAGTTGAGTGGATTCACCTGGTAAATCTTGAATGGAAGTATGATTCGCCCGTCTTTTGAAAGTTATTTTAAATTATCATCTGTGGGTAGATACAGCTTATTTTCAGATAGACTTTTATGTCAAGTCATTCTTCATTGTG